CACTCATCTATAATGGCTACTCTTATTCTCACTCATTTCCTAGCGTTTCTAGCCCTAACGAGTACCCTTAGATTCATCGCTGAAGCTAGGCCTCAACCAAGTGATGAGGATCTTGGTACCGTCTTTGGACCTCACACTGGCTTCGATGATGAGCTAGGCACCGTGATTGGACCGCATTCGGACGAAGATAACAAAGGCAACCTAGATGATGAAGATTTGGGAACCATCATTGGACCTGAGTTCGAGATCCACAAGGACGATTTCCCCGAAGATTTCATCTTTGGAACATCCGTTTCCGCATATCAGGTCAACATACATATGATAGTATACACATTATATTCCCATACATTATAACATAGATTAATCTAATCATTTTGTCGAATTTGTTGAGTTTTAGGTTGAAGGTGCTAAAAAGGGTTCTGGAAGAGGCTTGACCACATGGGATGAATTTACACACATGTTTCCTGGTATTTATTGATTCTGAATTCGGAATGTAGGAAACGAACATGGACAATATCATGTATTTTACAATCCCAAAATGTTTTAGAAATGGTTATAGTTGAAATTCTTGATATATAATATTTTCTCTTCATTTTATAAGTTAATCTAAACTATTTTATTTTTAGTTTTAGATCCCCATTTTCTTTTACAAAAACTTTTTAAAAATGAAATAAGTCACTACTATTGTGATATCTTTCAGACAAGGTTGAACAAGGTAGTGATGGAGATCTCGGAGTCGACTTCTATACCCGTTACAAGGTAAAAATTATAATGGGTATAATTCTTTTATGAAAAAAATTATCAAGATTTTTGTGTGTATAAAAATCCGTAAAATGGTAGTATTTTTATTTTCATATATATTGAAAAGATGGATGTGATATTATTATAGGACGATATCAAATTAATGAAGGAGTTGAAAACGAATGGGTTCAGATTTTCAATCTCATGGACCAGAGTCCTGCCTTGTAAGTCCATTTCATTCTTCCTTGTAATTAAATTAACCAAACGACACACTATTCATAATCAAAATCTACATTGCAAAGGCATAATAATTATCAATAATATTCTAAGTTCTAACTCATGTATATTTATCAATTTTCAGATGGAACTATAAAGAAAGGTGTAAACAAGGAGGGGGTGAAGTTTTACAACGATCTTATAAATGAACTTTTAGACAATGGTTAAACATCTCATATGTATTCAATCTTAAAGGTTTTACCTAATTATTCCAAACTTGTCTATATAGTAACAATTTGTTTTAATTATTATTATTTGGAATCATAATTAACAGGAATACAGCCCGCAATTACTCTCTTTCACTGGGAATCTCCACTTGCTCTAGAAATGGAGTACGGAGGTTTCTTAGACGAAAGGATTGTGTAAGTAATTTTGTAGATCAAAAGATTTCTTCTTCAACGCAAAAAAAACCCAACTATTTGATTTTCTTAACCAAAATTTTTTGCTAAAGAATTAATGTGAATACTTAAATGTAGAGATGATTTCCGAGAGTTTGCGAAATTTTGCTTTGAGCGATTCGGAGATAGAGTGAAGAATTGGGCGACATTTAACGAGCCATCGGTATACAGCGTTGCGGGTTATTCCAAAGGTAAGAAAGCACCAGGACGGTGCTCTCCATCAAAAGCCCTCCAATGTCTCACAGGAGATTCATCCGAGGAGCCATACAGAGTTGCTCATAACCAAATTCTTGCTCATCTTGCTGCTGTTGAAGAATTCCGAAACTGCGAAAAGGTCGGTGTTTAGAAAATTTCGCATATACAATACATACTATCAATCTTAAAGCACAAATCTTTATGTATATGTATCTATTCTATGATAAAGGTTGAAGAAGTGGTATGACGTAATTGTTCGATTTTTTTGTGTGTGTTATGTTACAAATATAGTGCCAAGAGGTTGGAGGTAAAATTGGAATAGTGTTGGTATCTCACTGGTTCGAGCCTAAAGATCCAAATTCGAGTAGAGATGTTGAGGCAGCGAGACGATCACTCGAGTACCAACTCGGCTGGTGAGTTTTTATTTTCTATTTTGTCATTTTTCGCGTTGTGAACCAATCTAAATATGCAACCATGGTTAATTAAATTGATGTTTGATTATATTATATATAAGATGTAACATAGATTGCATTTTGGACTACGAATGGGGCGTAGGTTTCTTCGCCCTCTCACATATGGACATTATCCAATGGAAATGCAAAATGATGTAAACATACGATTGCGTGAGTTTACAGAAGAAGAATCGGAGAAACTTAAAAAATCTTTGGATTTCGTCGGACTTAATTACTATGGAGCATTTTTCTCAACCCCACTCGCCAATGTCAATTCATCGCAGCTTAGCTATGCGTCCGACATGCATGTAAATTGGACAGGTACCACAATTTTAATCGCTTTCAAGAAATTTCTTTCCATATATGAAATGATCTG